TTTAGAGAAACCAATTGACCTGATGGTCATGTTTTTGGACTGTGGGAGGAAGCCGGAGTACCCGGAGAGAATCCACCATGCACAGGGAGAACATGTAAACTCCATGCAGAAAGACCCCGGGCTGGGAATCGAACCCAGAACCTTCTTGCTGCAAGGCAACAGTACTACCAACTGCACCACTGTGCAGTTGGTAGAGCTTAAAGACCACAAATTTTATTTTTGACAAAAGATAACTTGAGTATTAAATTTGAATAAAAATCTATCTTTTTATTCTTCACCTCCAGACTAGCTTTCATGACTACATTATTATTATTATTATTATTATTATTATTATTATTAATTTATGGGTCTTCATTGGTCCATAAGAGCAGGACATTGAAACCTAAAGGTTCCTGCCCACAGTGGCTCAGTAATGGCTCCCTGTCCAATGGGAATTGAATGGAGGATGGAATCCCTGAGAAGCCTATTCTCTGGCCAAACCGGTCACACCCTGCCCCATTCTTCAAACAACGCTGTGACTGACAGCTCCCTTTCACTGGGCTCTGGCTGCTGAGGAAGGGCCTTAATTCCAATCCATTTTGTAACATGGCTTGATAATGACTGAGACCTAAGCCCACGGGTTGAGATGGACATGTGTGCTTCTATTATCCATTGTAGGAAGAGGGGTCCTTTTTTGTCTTTGTGTTGCTTAACTTGGATGAGCTTGTGGATTTGTTGATATTTCAAACACCAAATGTGTAATAAGAAATGTCATGTGCCATGGCAGAAAAAAATTGCTAAAATAATTTAATGTTTCTGTGTTAAATGATGAGATGTGAAGCTATTTTATTGGACAGCGATTGTGTTGCCTATTATGTTGCATTAATAATGCAGCTGCATAGATTTTAGAAATACTGAAGAGCAAGAAGCAGGCCACCTCCAAATATAGTAATAATCAACAGATGAGGCACCATGGAATTCTTGAATGCAGAGATTCTTGGGCCCAGTCGAGGGGCTGGTTAGAAGTCTGACACAACCTCCATCTGGAATGTTGTGTAAGCAGGAATATGAAAGGAAAACATTTCACATTCAACAAGGTGAAATTTTATCAAGGACTATGTTTTAAAACATGACGATGTCGAACTGTTTTCAAAACAATTAACTAGCTCCTAAAAGTCAGATTATGATCAAAGAAAATGCATACTGATTGTTTTATATTCCTGCTGTCAAGGGATAAGTACACCATCCTAAACATACAATAACACAGATATAAGGTCTCATAGTAAAGAGACCCTCCAGTTTTCTTTGTTTTTTTACATAATTTGGACATATGTCCACATGAACCATATTTAATATAGATTTAAATAATACTGAGCAGTCCAGGTAGCCTAAATAAGCAAAAAAAACAAAGAAAGCATCTTTTGCAATTTTCCATACAATGTAGTAAAAAAAGACATTTGAAACCCAGCAGGTTTATTTCCTTTTAAAACAACTAAAATCACACACTCGCATCTGGTGGGCATGAGGACAACAGTGCTACTCTGCAGTTTAAGGGGATGTTTAAAGCTACAGCATGCACCTTTTACAAAAATGTGTTTTGTACATACTTGTTCAAACTGTCACCATGTCATCAGACAAATAATCGGTGAAAAGACTGAGCTTCTCCACCTCCTCCCAGTGCTACTATTGCCATCTGAAGAAATGTACCACGACTGACCAAAAACAACCAATCAGAGCCAGGAAGGCCAGGAGGAGGGGGTCACTACTGTCAATCTCCCTCATGTATATTCTGCTAAATGTAGCAATGCTAGAGAAAGAACTTAGCATTCCTGGTATACTCCTCCTGGTCTGCAGCCTGTTTCATCTTTAGACATGAGCTGGACTTCCTTCATCCCCATCTCTGCTGAGCTTTGCAGTCACTTATTGCTGAATGTTTAGATGGCGTTATCTGGGGTCAGATGAAAGTCAGTGATAGATGGAAGACATCAGCGATTATGGTCTAAATCAGGGGTCTTCAACTTCAGGCCTCTGCTTCAACACACCTGAGTCAAATAATGAGACCATCAGTTGGACTCTGGAGAAGTTGACTGCTAACTGAGGAGGTGATCCAGCTATTTAATTCAGGTGTGTTAAACCAGGGACATGCCTAAAACATGCAGGACAGTGGCCCTGGAGGCCTGGAGTTGAAGCCCCCCAAGTATAAATGTAATATTCAGAAAAGAAACAAAATAACTCAAATTAGTTCTTTTTGAATATTATTACAGAATGCAGAGACTCTTCTCATTTTGACTCCTTCCAACAATGGCCCTCACTCCCCCCACTTCACTCTACTTCACTCCCACCTCCACAACCTTCCTCCTTTAATCACCAGAGGATGGAAAGGGGGTGAAAAGACACAACAGAAGCAATGTGGGGGCTAAGGAGATGAGTTGTTTACCCTGCACTTGGCTACTAGTGAGCTCTACTGCCTCCATCTTCTCCCCCCATCCCCACCTTTTTTTTAACCCAGTTGGAGGTGTAAAGAGCACTGACCTACCTCCTCTTCCTCTCCATTTTCTATGCCCTGTTCTTGCCCCCTCACCTCCTGGGCATCACCCTTTCACCCTGTATACTTCCGGGGATGCTTAGATTGGGCCACCTCACCTATATTGACCTGTCTAGACACCACTGCCTTGCCTTTTTATTCCAAGAGAGCAACAGAGGAAGGGGAAGGTGGTGGAGAGGTGGGAAGGCAGGTTAAAAGTCAGAGTTGCCGGGTGACGTTTGTTACCATGCAACTAATAAAACAGAGCGGAAGCAAAAGGCCACACCGATGACCCTCCCAAAGCCCCGCGGTGTCACCCTGCTGACTTTGGGTCAGCTCAGACCCTAACAACAACTGTCAATATGGCTGCTTTTGTTCTTCAACATAAGCCAACACTTTGTAATGTAGCTTGAGTCCATACAAACACCATGTTTAGAAGTATAGTTATTTTCCCCCCAAGTATATTTTCAATTTGTGTCATATCTTTCATACATTTAAGTAAAATTTGGAACCAGTAAAAATATCAAAAATCTGTAGTTGCAAATTCTGGGTTGAGTTGAGTTGATTTTGACTTATTGAACATAGTGTAAAAGAAGAATATACAAAGTTTTATACAAAAAAAATTAAAACAAAATGGATGCGGGTTTGTTTCCCAGTCTGTGGCTTTTTAATGCATGTCTTCCTCTTCTCTCTCCTCCCTTCTGTCCATTTATTGCTAAATAAAGGCTGCTAGAGCTAAAAGGAAGGAAAATAGTTTTTTTTAAATGAAAATATTTGTAGGTTGAGTGTGGTTATTGCATTGAGTTTATATAGCACCAATTCACAACACGTTATTTCATGGTAACTTATTTAAAAAAGTCATTCTATTCAATAACATACATTTAAATTTATCCTAGGTATCAAAAAGTGCATTAAGTTCAGTTTATTGTTCAAATTTGTTTAAAAAGAATGAAACCCAGCAGATTGCACAGAGTCATTGTCAGTTCAACAGTTTGCACATCATTGACCTAATGCAGTGGTTCTTAACCTGGGTTCGGTCGAACCCCAGGGGTTCGGTGAGTCGGTCTCAGGGGTTCGGCGGAGCCTCTGCCGTGGAGGTAAAGACACACTGTGTAAAGTCGTGATGACGCCCCGCTTCGCCATCACTTGCTGCAGAGGATCATGTTACATTGCTGAGCCAATCAGAGCTGCGGAGGAACACTGATTGAAGGAGTTTCACTCAGCATGGATTTGAACTTGTGTCTTTAATTACTTCAGCAAAACTCAGTTGTTGTTTCTTTTTACCAAATTATGTAAGTTTCGGTGTACTGTGATCCCTCGCTATAACGCGGTTCACCTTTCACGGTCTCGCTGCTTCACAGATTTTTTTGTGCAGTTTTTTTCACAGTGCATTGTGTTCTGCGTCCTGATTGGATAAACAGTCTCCGAGATCCTTCTCTACCTGTGTGCCAATAACGTTACGGTATTTAAATATAAATAATACAGATTGGCCATTCAGGAGATGAAAACTGAAAACTTTGAATGCCTGCTGGAAAAATCTGTGGCCAGAATCAGCGCAAAACCGACCAGAGGCTCGGTTGACGAGATCCATTGCTCTGCCGTAGATACAGCTGTGAATCTCGCGGGGCAGGTTGGAGGAGACGCTTTAATGACATGACTCCAGATCATATTAAGGCCCGATTGATGAACACGCACATTCGCTGATCTGAAAACAGATTTTGTTCTTGGGTTTCAATGTAGAGTATTTAATTATGCTGTATAATAATTGTAAAAACTAAAGGTAACTACTTCGCAGATTTCACTTATCGCGGGTTATTTTCGGAACGCAACCACCACGAAAAACGAGGGATCACTGTACTTCTAAATCTGCTCCTTAGTCGCATCTTTTCGGGGTTGCTACTGCCTCTAGTGCCGTGGGGGTGGTAACACAACCAATATAATTACATTACTAAATCAGAATATGGCAAAGTTTTTATTTATTATGAATTTTTCTTTCTCTTAAGAATTTAGAGCTAATTAAATGACCTAAACAAGACCTTAAAGTGGTTCCAGTTTCTTTCGATGGCCAACCTGTTGAAACTGTGGCAAATTTTAAATACCTTGGGTCGTTCCTGGACAGTCAGCTCAACTTTGCTGAAAACAGTGAATATGTTTTGAACAACTGTTCTCAGAGACTCTACCTTTTAAGAAGACTTGGTGATCATGGGGTGACCCAACTAGACTCTAGTTGGGTCACCCCTATGTCTTGAATTTGAAGAAAGAAAAAAAAATCATATTTTATTTATCACTACAGAAGGGTTCAGTGAATGCGCATATGAAACTGGTGGGTTCGGAACCTCAAAAAAGGTTAAGAACCACTGACCTAATAGGAACGTAAATCTTACTGAACAAGGTCAGGCTTGGCTATATCCAGGAAACAACACTGCATCCTGATGCCATCCAGCTCATGAGCTCTCAGTGTAATCCTCCATTTTTATTTGTTTATTTTTGTTGACAGGTCCCGTTTGCTCGCTCAGAAACGCACCTCAGTGAGCTCCTGGATGGGGTGTGCGACAGCATGAGTGACTATGCCCTCTACTTTGACCCGGACACCCACCACAAGCAGTACAGGAGATTCGCTCCAAGAGTCAGTGGATCCTCAGAAAACTTCCCAGACTTTGAAAACTTCAAGTTTGATGGACCTGAGGCATCCAATAACCTGAAATTTGCTGTAAGTTCACAATGGCATGACTGAATTATTGAACACACTATAGTTGTGACATACATGATTGTTCTATTTGCATAGAATGGACTCAATGCTGAGCAGATTCTGTTTCATGTGTTGACTAAAATATTTAAACAGCTGCAACATGTCTCAGTTAAACTTGAAGGTGTTGATGGTTTTGTTAGAAGTTTTACTAAGTTTTAAGCTGATGCTTAATAATGTCAGAAAGTCGCCTGCTATACTTTTGTCTAGAACATTTTGATTGATGTTTGCAGTCACATTTTCTGTAAATTTATATAAATTTAAGATAGTGGAGTTAGATTTGTTTCACAATTATTCAATCACAAAAAAACTCATGTCAAACAAAAAAGTAGCATTCAATCAAAAAAAAAAAATCAAACAAAACAAATCTTAAAAACTTTTTAATCATGAAAATATTTTTTTATGAAACAAAATATATTTAGCTAAACACACCTGGCCCTTAAAAGCAACACTTCCTTCCCTACCTGGCCTTCTGACTCAACACTTGCTGGTCTTTCCATCCTCATGTTCTGATCTTCTCTACACAGCAAATTCAAGTGTCAGATTTCTAGTGCAAGTGTTGGTGTTAATTCAACAACATGAGTGTTAGTGAGTGTTAGTTTCCCTAACACTCACTAAAGAGTTCCAAAGGGTTAATCAAAAAGCAATCCAGTCCAGTGTTGATTTCTAAATTAACTCCAACAGTCTAACTCAACACTCAGAAAAATTCCTCCCACAATTGTAACATATTTGTGACATCACATCAGGGAAGGAGCAACAGATAGGGTAGGGGTTGCAGCAGGCCTCTGGCCTGGACCTACAGGGGACATACATGGGAGTCAGAACATGCCTTCTCAGGGATCCAATTTTTCTTTATACAATCTGATGAGAACAGTAAAGGAGGGCCCTCTCCTGTTGAACACTGTGTATCTTACCCCAGTAGGTTATATAGTAGGGTGCTCCATTGTTGACTCATGGTTGCTAAAAACCTTACCAGACTGATTTTAGTGACATAGTGGGTATAAAATATTGAATAAAATGTTGTGCTACATGACAGGCTTTATTTTCACTCTTATATTTAACTTTATGACACACAAAACTACAAATGAATTGTCCTTATTGTATCCAGGTGCATTCTGGGTAAAGCTTGTCACCAACGTCATCATCAGTCACTTGGCAACAAATGGCAAACTAGCTAGAGCATTTCTAGGGATTACGTTAACATGTTTTGAATTTGTGTTGTTTCATCATTAGTGACCAGTTGCCTGATGTTTCTGTTTTCTTGGTTTGTTGTATTTCATGTCAGATGGATTTCAGAATGACTTAGTCGCTCTCTCTGGTGATGAAACTTGTTAGCTCCGCTGTTGCGGGCATGTCCATGTTGTAAAGTTAAATTATCATGAGCTTTATTATTTGGGCCCGGTCATTAGCCCCGCCCCCCTCCCGACGCCGTCTTGTTCGCTACTGCGTCACATGTTTGCCTGAGGAGCGGAGGCAGCAGTATGGTGTCTTGTCTGGAGCTTATTACAACAAGGTAAGTTCCATGTTAAAATGATCATGTTTTTGACTACTTTTTATGGAGGCATTATTTTTCCGTTTACGCAAGAGTATCAATTCATATACATAGTTCGCTTAACGTACGTTTATTTGTTTGGATATCACGGTATATACGACTATTTATTATCTTAACCAAACATTAAAGCTGTCAGGAAAATCTGGAGGCCATTTGAGTTAACATTATTTAGCTGCGGAGGTCGTTTTCTTTAAGTTTTTGGCTGTAGACTGCAAAATAGGGGAGTGACTGTGCTGGACCATTGGCTTGATCTATGCCACAGGTGTCAAACTCCAGCCCTGGAGGGCCACTGTCCTGCAGCATTTAGATGTGCCGCTGCTGCACCACACC